TTGGAGCTCCATGGTCACATGGTTGCATTAAGGGCGGGGGGGGGCTGCCAACTGACTCACAGTTATGACACTTGAAGCATCCCACATTATGTGATTGCCATTTGCGGCCTTCCCTGTCAGCTTCCCACAAGCAAAGTCAGTGTGGAAACCAGCAAGTCATTCCTGGAGCTTTTTCTCCTGAGGACCCCTACCCAGACTCACACTGAAGCAACCCCCAAGCACTGTGCTGGAGCAAGGCACCCACCTGCACTCATTTTACCTGTCCTCTGGCTTGCATACAAGCCGTCTAAAGCAGGTCTCTCCAACCTTGGCCACTTTTAAGACTTGTGGACTTCAACTCCCAGAATTCTCCAGCCAGCATGGGAGTTGAAGTCCACAAGTCTTAAAGTGACCAAGGTTGGAGACCCCTAGTCTAAAGAAAGTCTTGTTCTGATTGGAAGTCTGTAGAGATTGTCAGTCATCCAGGTTATGGTTGTCCCAAAGGTGTTTTTTCAGGAGACAACTGGACTCCCCCCTCTTTTTTTTCTTTTGAAGATGTTTCACTTCTCATCCAAGAAGCTTCTTCAGCTCTGACAGGATAGTGGGGAGTGGAAGGATTTATATGCCTTGCAGACAGCCGATTGGAACTTATTACTTCTTGCCAGTTTTCCCACTGACTTTGTTTCTTGGAGGCCAGCAGGAAATTGCAAGTTGTGATTGAGGTCCTTTCTCAATAACCTGCGATCCTCACTTAACAACAGCAACCGAGGATGACAGGATTGCCATCGCTAAATGAGGCAGTCACAACGTTTTGTAACTACTATCATTTAGCAATGGAAATTCTGCCCCCCATTACCATCGTTAAGCAAGGACTTCCTGTGTTAAAAATAGAAAGAGTCACAAAAGCCCAAGAGACTGCCCCTCATGCTTCCATATGAGTCTACTGTGCTAGTCTCTATTTTTTTCCTCTCCGAGTCTTAAATGTATTTCATTTTCTGTAAGAAGTCCAATCACATTACTCAATAATTCTTAGTTCATAGAGATAGAAACGTCATGCCACTTCAGAAGAAAATACTGCCTGGATTTCTACATGATGTGCTTGTCTGTTCTCTGACCAGCATCTTTTCTAGTTATAACTAGATTTTTTTTTACCTGCTGTCATAGATGTTCTGTTTGGAAGAGGACAACAAAACAACAGGCAGATTCCTCTGATATATTTTCCTTCCTTGACCAGTTTTGAATAAAGCCTCCCTCCACTTTCCTAAGAATCAGGACATTTGACAAATATTGGACCAATCTAAATATTTCAATACTTGCTCGCATATGCCCCCAAAAATGGAAGGGATTATATAATCTTTTTGCCTTAAGCACATTCCCAAAATGTGAACCCACTAAACCAGTCATGGAACAGGCCGAACAGCACTTTGATTGCTTGCAATTTCATATGCACACAATAAACGCTCTCACAGTTTTCTAACGTCATCGTTTCTAACATCATCATTCCTTTGAACAACAAAGACACTAAGCGGGGACTATAAATAGCCAAAACAGGACCATGGAGCAAACAGAAAAAATTCTTAACATTTTTTTCTTTTTACAAATAAAAGGCAGCCAAACAAACACAAGAAAATACAACAAGGATTGGATATGTTTAGCAGACTGGCTGTTGCTGAAAAATAAAAGGAAAGGAAATAAAAAATGGGGAAGTATAATAAAAGTTCCTAGAGAAAGGGCTTGGCTTTTCTAGTTGGCTGGAATCCTGGACAGGTGCATTTCAATATACTCCACCATATCGCTGCAGGTGATACTTGTGTCTCTTTAATCTAAAATTGTTAAAGATCATTTTTGAAAAAGTCTGCTTTGAAACTAATTTTGAATCACATCCCACACCTTAATTGTGGGATAAAGTTTGAAAGTAGTAATGTTAGAAGATAATAATGGGTGGGTAGGCTGTGGGCCATTTTCTCTAAAACGGGACGGCATGTCAAAATGATTGTGGAAAACCCTTCACTGATTACAACTATGCATCTGTGTTATTTTTGCTAGCAAAGCTGAGGCACATGAAAAAAAAAGGGATAGAAAACCCTGAGAAGCTGTTTCCTGTTCCCACAGAACTGCCGGCTGGCTTCTAGGAGGAGAATTGAAAATATGCAGGGATTTGGCATACTCACTGGCATCCTCTCCTGCCTGACGTAAAAAGTTGCCATAAAAGCTATAAGGGGGAGAGTTGGCTAATCCAGAACAGGGTGAGAGAATAAGAATTTGCTGGCAAAAAAAAAAAAGTAAACCAAGTTAGAAAGAAGGAAAAATATGTTCTGGTTCTCAGGACCAGGATTATTAGCTCACACTGCTGGAAAATAGCTTTGGAAGAAGGAAGTTCCATTTACTCAAAGATCTCATTTCCAGGACAGATCAACCACATAGCATCCCAAGACAGGAGAGGGAACATGGTGAAGCCACATTCCAGTCCACCCTCAGCCAAAAAAGCTGACTGGTTAACTTCCAGTTGCTTATTTCTCAGCCCCTCCTACTGTCCGGATTGCTGTTATTATGGGGATAAATTGGTAGAGGGAATACTATGCATGAGAGTGATGGCCTCTCCTAGCTCAGTGATGGTGAACCTTTTAGGCACAGAGTGCCCAAACTGGAACCCGACGACCAGCTGGCCGGCGTGCATGTGCACCTCGGAAACCCGACGATCAGCTGGCCGGCGTGCATGTGCACCTCGGAAACACAACAACCAGCTGGCTGGCGTGCATGTGCACCTCGGAAACACAACAACCAGCTGGCTGAGCCCACAGAGAGAGCTCTGTGTGCCACCTCTGGCACGTGTGCCATAGGTTCGCCATCACGGTCCTAGCTTATAAGTTAGTTTCCGAACATTTTGTTACCAGGCTAGATAACATCTTCAGCGAAATTTAGGGTTCCTAAACTCCACTGAAGATGTTACCTAGCCCGGTAACAAAATGTTCAGAAACCAACCCACAAGCTCGGAGAACCAATCTTCACCCTAATCCTATGCCCGAACTACAGATATTCGCCACTATTGCAATACTAGCGGTATGTATGTTGCCTTGAACTCCTAAAAGAAAGGCAGGACTACTACAAAGAAAACCACACTACTAAATTCATAAACAAGACAACAGACCACCTCTTCCGTTCCTTCCCTCCCCAGTCTCTGTTCGTCCAGACCAGTATTTCTCAACTTTTAACCACATTAAGGTATATGGACTTGATGGTGGCTGAGGAATTCTGGGAGTTGAAGTCCATGCATCTTAAAGTGGCTGAGGTTGAGAAATGCTAATGTAGACAATCTTGAAAACTTTGAAGTTCAACCTATTGTTATGAATAGTAATAGCTCCTAGTCCTCCCCTCCTAGACAATATCTTCCATATATGTCTAATTCTTTCCCAAAACAATGTAATCTGGAGAGCTTCAGTATCCATCGTTACATCAAATTCCAGACTATATCTTATGCTGTAACAAAAAAAATTCCATCCTATTTGCACCTATCAAAATCAAATTTTGAATGGCAGAGGATGGGTGAACTCTTGGTTGGAATTAATGGTGGTGGTTTTACTCAACTGGTCCAATGGCAGCAGGTTGGAAAAACCATCAGGAATATCTGATCAGGAACAACATCCCACTAGATTCTAGCACAGGGGTTCCCAAACTTTTTTATACCCCGCACCCCTAGAACGCTTCTGATATATTCTCGCACCCCTTAGAAAAGTAAATACCTGGTTTGAATTATGCATATACACTATAATTTTGAAATTTCTAAACCCAAGTTTTCGCACTCCCTGGAATATCATCTCACACCTCCAAGGGGTGCAAGCACCCCCAGTTGGGAATCCCTACCCTAGAATATTCTGCATCGGAGGCACCCTTGGTGGTGCAACAGACTAAAGTGCTGTTAAGTAGCACTTAGCTGCCAGCTGCCTGCAATTACTGCGAGTTCAAATCTTACCAGGTTCAAGGTTGACTCAGCCTTCCATCCTTCCGAGGTAGGTAAAATGAGGACCCGGATTGTGGGGGCAATAAGCTGACTTTGTATAAAAAAAGAACACCGCTTGGGGGGGGGGGCGAAAGCCCTAATAAGTAGTATATACAAAAAAGTATGAAGGTTATTGCTTAACGCATTGTAAGCCACCCTGAGTCTCCGGAGAAGGGCGGCATATAAATCGAACCAATAAATAAATAAATAAATAAATTTTTCCCCATAGGTAATGCTTGGACTGTAAATATATCTCAAATATCCATCTGCTACATGGAGGAAGGGCTAAATGCAGATTAATCTGGGGGGGGGGGGTCCTTTTTATTGGGAGAGAAGAGACATCCTGTGGTAGGGGACACCCCCCCACACACCAAAAGAAGAGCAAGACCTGGGCCTATAAAGAGATCATCATGCTGTGCTTCACTCTGTACTAACACAACCCATCTATTTCTAAATTAATCCAGGATCTGAATTCACATGGAATCATCATTTAACTAAGCAATCTGGGTTGCACAGCACACAAGGTGCAAAAAAAATAATAATATTAAGGCTAGCATTAACCACATGTTGGGGTGTAATGCATCTGCTAGTCCTTCCCTGATCCACTGATCCAATTAAGGGAATTGGGTGAAACAGCTACTGTGAGTATCATCAAATGCTTTGCATGTATCACACCTTAGCTCAGCGGCCAAAGGCCTATGGAGATAGGCTGGTATTCTCAAACCATTTCTGCAAGCCATCAAGCCGGGCCGAGAGAGGGTGGGATGAAATCAGATTTTCCTGCCACGGTCTCTAGACTCCCAAATTTCATGGCATTCGAGTAAGGCTCGGTTTGGGGATGCTGGCGCAGAAAAAGTAAAGCGCCCCCCACCCTCCCTTTCTCCCAAACCTCCTAAGCGTGCAGTCCAGGCTTAAAGTAGGAACGATGAAACGCGACTTGTTGTAACCTATGCGCCGCTGCCTCCTCGCTTACGTAATGGCCCGAATTTATTTATTAAAAAAAAAAACAAAAAAAACTCGGTACACGCTCAGATGCCCGCTAGCCTCCTGCGGTATCAAAACTTCCACATCTTCCAAAAAGAACGACGATCATCGCTTCCACACGAATCCCAGGAGAAACTTCTGGGCTGAAAAGCAGCAGCAGCAGCAGCGCCGACTTTCTCCTGCATCGCCGAGTCTCCAACCGCCGGCGACACCCGGAGACCGGGGGGGGGGGGTATGTGAAGAAGTGCGGGGCCTCCCGGCCTTAGACCCAAAAAGCATCCCTTTCCCCGGGTGGAGGGGAAACACGAAGCAGCCACCCCCGACGGGCGCCAACGACGCCGCGCAAAACCACTCGCGCGATCCGCCTTTGGATCTCCGGGGGAAAAGGACGGCGGCGCGTTTCGCTGCCACCGCAACGGCAGCCGCTCCGCTTCCCGACTTCCCTGCCCAGCCGCCCCCCCCCCCCCGTCCCTCCCTCCGGCTTACCCACTGCAGGGGCAGCAAATCGGCGGCTCCAGTCTCCGCCGCGCCGCCAGGTGAAGCTGTTCGGCTCGCTCCGTCCCTCTCAGGCCGGGCGCAGGATTAACGGAGGTTGCAGGCAGGCAGGCATGTGACTGGGACCGGACGGGAGGGGGAGCCGCGAAGCTCAGCACCGCAGCAGCCTGGAGGGGAAAAGAGCCGCAGCTCTCCCTGAGCTGCAAGGAGAAACACCAGCAGGCTCCTGCTGATAAACTTCTGAGCCTTTCTTTCTCCACCCTCCCCCCCCCACTAACTTCCGGCCTCGGAGAACTTGAAAAGGGCAGTGCCTCTGAGCATGTGCAGTATGCCATCCTCTGAGCCAGAAGCCTGTTAAAGGAGGAGTTGTGATTCCGGAATTGTGCAAGGGGTCTCCGTTGTGCAAGCTTATTTTATCATTTTATTTAATTTTATTTAAAGCTTGGGAGTTTTCCCCCCGCATCTTTGGAAAACTGCACTGTGAAAGGTGCTGTGTTCTCACAATAGGTTTTTAACGTTTTTAAGTCACTTAAAGAGACAGTTTTGCCTAATCAAAATGAAGATGCGAGAATGCAAAGTTTTTTTAAAAAATAAGTTGGTTTTGTTTAGCCGGTGTTTCCTTGAGCGTAAGCAAAAAGTATCTAAAATTGGAAGGTTCTGTTTTAAAAACTGTCAAAAACCTCAAGAGGCTAAAAAAAAAATAAATGCGGAAGATTGTGGCGCTGAACATGGGCAGACTATGGCCCGAGTTCCAGCAGTAGATCTGCTTTCTGTGCCAGCATTCATCTCGTAGTCTTGATGGGTGAATAATGAGGGCTTCTCTGGACGTGTGAGGAATGCAGAACTTTCTGATTCTCAGGACTTGTCCTGGGAACTGAATCTCTGGCTCTGAATGTCACCTTCAGAAGTGCAGGAATCTTACAGCCATCATTCAGCCAGGAAAAGTTTTTTAAAGAGAAACAATCCCCAAATGTAGAAATGCCCTCATTTAGAAGAACAACCTGTGCTATTTCATGTGAATTGGGTTTCACTATCAGGAAAGGGGAAAAAAATATACTGCTTCAGTCATTGGACACATTTTAAATGCAGAACTCGGAATCCAGGGCATACCCAAATTCTCAATACAGATAGTCCTCAATTTAGCAATTGTTCAAAATTATGATAGAACCAGCTACTTATACTGATGTTGAAGTTATAATGGCTGCAATTCTCCTCTCCCATCCCTCCTACATGATTGTATTTTGGGTGCATGACATCTGGCTCACCTTAAATCTGCAGTCATGTGACTGATTTTTTTTTACAGCTTCCAGCATTTACTTCTGATTTCCTGCAAAAAAAAGTGCCCATTGTGTACATAAAAGTGCCAATTTATTTGCTTATTGACTGTGGTGTTCACTAACCATGGCATTTGCTTAATGATTGCCACAAAAAAATGTTGTAAAATTGGTTCTGTTCACATTGTGACCCACTTAACAACCACAACAACTTACAACTATAATTCTGGCTTCAATTATGGTCCTAAATCAAGGACTATTTGTATAACCAAGTGGACAGAAAAGACAGAAAAAACTTCTGAGCATGTAAACAATAAGCAATCCATGTGTCCTGCAACCTAGAATCAGGAGGTGGAAAATAAAAATAAAAAAATAAAACGGGGAGGGGAGAAGCTTCCTTTAGTCCACCCCATGTTTCAAAGGCTTGAAAGAAAGTATCTTCGATCATGTTCAGAATTCTAAGATTAATTTCAATCCTGCACAATATATGACCCCGGGGGGGGGGGGTTGCGATGTCATCACGGGGTCATATATTGTGCAGGAAGGTTTGAAGAAATGTTATGATTTAAATCTTGAGTTAAATCTTGAGGGTCCATGGCCAGGGTCCATGGCCACAAAAGGGGGCTTATGGTGAAGAAAAGAGGAGTCTGTCTAAGGAGATTCTCAGTCATCCAGATCATGGTTGTCCCAAAGGTGCTTTTTCAAGAGGCAATTGGACTCTGTTTTTTTCTTTGAAGATGTTCCGCTTCTCAGAGCTGAAGAAGCTTCTTAGATGAGAAGCGAAACCTCTTCAAAGAAAAACCAGAAAGTCAAGTTACCTCTTGAAAAAAGGCACCTTTGGGATAAAAGAGGAGAAGCCTAAAATATTCTGCATCGGATGAACATGGTGTCCCGAGAATAATCTCAACATGATGAAAGTAGTGATGGGGATAACACACTGTAAATATCAGAGCAAGCTCTGATGCAGATTGTTCGCAAGAAATGCCTCCACTTACAAGTGCTTGGAACGGGGAAGACAGTATATAGTCTACGAGGGCAGCCTCCACCACCAAGGAAATCAATGTTGAAGAGTAAAAGGGAAGTTGTGTGCTTGATGTTGAACCTGGCCAAAGACCTTCAGCTCCACTACCATGTGAACTCTCCTGGAGCAGATTGAGACACATAGGCAGGATTCGCACATCATGGCAAGCTACGGATTCTTTGATTGCAACTTACAGGAATCTTGGCCCACACAAGTGTTTTTTTTTAAGCATGCCCAACCCCTCCATCGCAAAGGTGTACATCCCCAACTGCAGGTGTAAGAGGCTTAAACCAGCAAAGATTTTGACAAGAGTTTGGCCAGTCTTGTTTACCACTACAGGTAGCTCTTGACTTATGACCACAATTGAGCCCAACATTTAACACTCATTGCTAAGTGAGATGTTTGTTAAGTGAGTTTTGTCCCATGTTACAACCTTTCTTGCCACCATTGTTAAGTGAATCGCATCAGTAGATAAGTTAGAAACCCGGTTGTTAAGTGAATCTGGTTTCCCCATTGACTTTGCTCATCAGGTGGTCTCAAAAAGGGATCACATGATCTCGGGACACAGCAACGGACATAAATATGAATCAATTGTCAAGCATCTGAATTTTGATCTTGTGATCACAGGGATGCTGGAAACGTAACTGTGAAAAAGGGGTCATAAGTCACTTTTTTTGCTGCTGTTATAACTTTGAACGGTCACTAAACAAACTCTTGTAAGTCAAGAAGTACCTGTAGTTGCTTCATCGTTTTCCCCAGCTAGACCCGATATTGGAAACAATCCCAGTTTGGAGTGGGGACAACTTGGGAAATGCTGTAGGGAGAGCAATCGATGCTTCTCCTTTTCCCCAAATCTTTACATTTGGGTCTTTTATAAAAACAAAGCTGACCTAGATGCATTTAGACAAACGCGTACATCACTGTCTGCCAATTATCCTGTGATGCTGGCCTGACCAAAGTTTGCTCAGTAACTCCGTTGCCACCCTGTTCCTTCTAGCATCCTGTGTTTCTTTAGGCCTCAGTTTCCAGCTGGGCTCCTTGACTCTAATGTCAGAACAGGAAAGTTAACTCCTCAGCTGGGATAGGATTGGATGGGGGCAGGCCACTCTCAAGCCGCAGGGTACAGATGTGGAGTCTGCAGCCTCCGAGTGGCATGGGACAGCTATAATTATCCAAAATATAATTATTTTGGGAAACCTCTGGCTGGCTGCCCAGGCATTTCTTTCAATCCGAAGGGGCCAGAGAGCTCTTGGAGAGTGGGATGCCCAGCCAGATGGCTCTTTCCTCTCTCCTCTCCCATCTCAGCTTCTCTCTTTTTTTCCTCTACTCTTGTTCCTGGGCCTGTAAGTAGTTACATGATGTGACTACCATTTGGGTAGGTGAAGCTTCTCCCGGCATGCAGAGAAAATGACTCTGTAATTGTTGTTCCCATGCTGAGTTTTTTTTTGAATCCAGCCTAGCCTAATCTGTGCTGCAATTAGGTGAATTACAGACTGATGAAGATAAATTAAAGATTGAAATTCCACACCAGCCCTTATCCTAGCATGGCATTACTAATGCCCTTCTTGTTACTCCAGCCCTATAGTGTTTACATACAGGATCATTCTGTTCAGCAAAGATTTAACATTAATTCCACGTTCTCACTGGTAGTTTCAGTAAAAACATTTTACTGAAACTGGGTTTCTCCTGAATGAGAACTAACATCATAACTACGTAGTATGATGGACTGCAGGGCCGGCGCAATGTGTAACATGTTCACACTGGTGCAATAAGACTGGGTGTTTTGTTGATACGATTTATTGGGTTAGGGATTTTCCGTCTTCACTGTGAGTTATATTTTGTTGGGGGGGGTGCACTGAGGGAGCTCAACCAATCTCATTGTACATATGTTGTGCACTGACAACAAAGATTTGAACTGAAAATCTATGGACAACATTGAGAAATTATTTATGAAGCTGTTGTGCAGGCTACATTTTGACACTGTAGAACACCTTGTTATAATTCAGAATGATGCAAGAGTACAGGTGGCCCTTGACGTATGACCACAATTTTAATGTTGTAGGTCCTCCGGGGTTACCTGTGTGTAAATGGAGCAGCCATACAAATTTGTTTAATTAATAAATAGGGGGCAGAACTTCTGTCATTAAGCGAAATGGTTTTTTAAGTGCAACCTGTTAATGCTGCTGTCGTTAAGCAAATCCCTGTGTCTTTAAGTGAATCACTTGGCCTCCTCCATTGACTTTGCTGGCCAGAAGCCAGCTAGGAAAGTTGCAGAGGAACTTGTGATTCTGGGACTCCGCAACTGTCATAAATACATGCCAGTTGCCAAGCAGGTAAAGGAGACAATGATTGCCTGGGCTAAAAATGTTGGATATGCAATAGAATTAGACAAATGGCAGAAATTATGGGATAGAAATATTAAACTGACGATGTCGACTGCATATAAAGAAAATTTGTATAAAATGTTTTATAGATGGCATTTTGCACCGGCAAGATTGACAAAAATGTATAAAGACAGATCTGCTAAATGTTGGAAGTGTAATCAATTATCTGGTTCATATACTACTGTATGTGGTGGACCTGCCCAAAAGCAAGAAAATATTGGACAAAAATACACACGTGGCTGGAAAAAATGACAA